AACCCACACGATTCAAAAATTGATTGTTTTGAAATGTATGCTTTGTACTTGTTTCTATATTGCATGGTGCCCGGTACATGAGCCTTAGACCTAAGGGTGAATGTTTTAAATTATTTTGGGTATGTATGGTTGTAATATTTTTTTTTTAAATAGGGCCTGCGTGTCCTGCCTTCTCTCCTCTTCTTGATGTACATTCTTTTCTCATCTCATTCCCCTCTAATGTAAATCGAGGTTTCTAAATTTGTTGATGTAAAATTAGTTTAATATTAATTTTATTGTAAATTTAGAATGATGTTTTTGTAATGTACCTGGAGACGGAGCGAAGGACGAGGCAACCATACTTGAAGACTCAAGATATTTGTTACAGGATCCCTAGGTGACCCACCGATCCCTCTAGGCTCGAGGAGATCGGTTTTAGTTAGGCCATGTACCGGCACGTTTAATATTTTGTTTAGAATGCATGCTAAGGTTGAATGTTGAATAACATGCCAAACAATGTCATTCTAACAAAGATAATAATCTGATGAGACATTAAATAACAAACCCCTCAACTAAGTATATTAAGTCACCTCTGCCTTCCATCACCATGGTTTTAATCAAACCACTGTTCGTCGAAACCTTGTTCGCCAAAGCGAAGGGTACACTTCTACCAGTGGGAGGTTAAAATTCATTGGAGTTTTCCTTAATGGTGATGGGTCGACTTAAAATGACGGTTTTGCTTATTCGCCAAAGCGAAGGTTGATAAACGCGTCATAGGCATAGTAGAGCAGTACACATATTATGTGTACGTAGTGACATGTAGTGTCCACTCTACTGATACTGAGAATCACACTTGAGGACAATGGTTGGAGCCATTGAATTGTGTGATTGGCTTGTTGGCTTTTTCACATTTGAGGTTGATAGTAGGAGCTATCAACTGATGTGGATTAAGTTTGTTGGCCTACCTGATCAACTCATTTTGGCTTGTTCGCCAAAGCAAAGGTTTGAAATGGGCAGAATGGGATCTCGGTCCACTAGGAAAGTCAACGGGCTATCCCGAGTTAATAATGAGGGCTATTGACTTGAGTAAAATAGTGGGAGCATCGTTTAATAAAATACCATATTAAATAATAATGAACTTTATAATAATTTTATCTTTTCTGCAATTGTAGATTCACCAAAACGAGCATTATGAACCTGCAACCGATAATCGAAAAAGAAAATAGGTTGGATGGATCCAACTTCTCAGACTGGTATCGTAATCTTCAGATTATACTCAAGTCAGAAAAGAAATTGTATATCCTTGAAAAGTCATACATGGCTGAGCCTGATCCTGATGCCATTCAGGAAGTTAAGGATACTTATTAAAAGTTCCTTGATGATCCTGATAGCGTTCAATGCTTGATGTTAGAATCGATGACACCTATGCTGTAAAAGCAGCATGAGAATATGGATGTTTCTTCCATTATTCTACACCTCAAGGAGCTATTTGAAACAAATGCTCAACATGAGAGGTACAAGGTGTCGAAAGCACTGTTTGGGAGTTGTCTGACTGAGGTTGCCCAAGTTGGTCCTCATGTACTCAAGATGATCGAGCATATAGAGAGGCTGAAGACTTTGGGATGTGGCTTGGATTTAGAATTACAAATGGATTTAATTCTGCAATCCTTGTCTGACTCTTATGCTCCGTTGATAATGAATTTTAATATGAACACGATAGAGAAAACCCTGTCAGAACTTCTGAACATGCTNCAAGTTTTAAGGCATTTTCTTCATGTTCTCTTAAAATAACTTTAAGAAAATCAACTAAGGGCTATAAAAACATAAATTAAATTGCATACCTCCGTGTGGGCGTTACAATGATCGAGCACATAGAGAGACTTGAGACTTTGGGATTTCAGTTGGGTGCAGAATTACAAATGGATTTGATTCTGCAATCCTTGCCTGACTCTTATGCTCCGTTCATAATGAATTTCAATATGCACACGATGAAGAAAACACTGTCAGAACTTTTGAACATGTTGAGGACTGTAGAGCAGGACTTCAAAAAGTCCAAGCCTGTTTTACTGGTTGCTGCCAGTAAAGCAAAAGGTAACGGCAAGGGTAAGGCCAAGGCCAAACCCAAGCCCAAAGGACAGGTTGCTCTTGGCCCTGAGAGTGGCATAGGGAAGGGAAAGGTAGTCTTCTTCTTTTGTGGCAAGCATGGCCACTGGAGGAAACACTGTAAGGCTTTCCTCGCAAGCAAGAAAAAGTTAGATGCTACGACTTCAGGTATTTTTGTGATTGAGATTAATTTCTCTCCCTCAACATCTTGGGTCATTGACACAGGATGTGGTACTCACATTTGTACTTATGTGCAGGGATTAAGACAGAGTAGAGTGCTCACCAAGGGAGAGGTGGACCTACGAGTTGGAAATGGAGCACATGTGTTGCATTGGATGTAGGGACTTACTGTTTATCTTTGCCTACGGGCTTGTTATTGGAACTACATAACTGTTATCACGTACCTTTTATTCCTAGAAATATTATTTCAGTATCCACTTTGGATAATATAGGGTATCATTTTGAGATATCTAATGGATGGATGTCCTTTAGTTTGAATGGTATTCTATATGGAATTGCTAGGTTATATAATGGATTGTATGCTCTTGATTTAAACAATAAAGATATTCTCAATATTGAAACCAAGAAAGCTAAACATAGCGATCAAAACTAGACATATCTCTGGCATTGTAGATTGTGTCATGTTAATAAGACTCGCATTGCAAAAATTCAAAGGGATGGAGTTTTGGACCCTTTTGACTTTTAGTCATTTGAGGTATGCGAATCATGCCTGTTAGGCAAAATGACCAAGTCTCCTTTCACAGGACAAGGTGAAAAGGCTACTGAGCTGTTAGGCATCATCCATAGTGATGTATATGGTCCACTAACAATTGAGACCAGAGGTGTGTCACGAACCAATCTAACCGTGGGCACGGTTGGGTTGGGCTTGCCCCAGGTCCACTTTCATGAACACTCTACTCAGTACTGTCCCCCCCTTAAGGAATTTCTTCGCCTCCCCCACCACTCGAACTCAAGACCAAGGGGTTATAGTCATTTGGGAAGCATGGTGAGTACCATCAGGCTAGCTAGCCCCTTGGTCTTGGGGTTCGAGTGGCGGGGGAGGCGAAGAAATCCCTTAAAGGGGGGGGGGGGGGGGGGGGGAGACAGTACTGAGTATAGTGTTCACGAAAGTTGGCCTGGGGCGAGCCCAGCCCAGCCGTGCCCACGGTTAGATTGGGTTGTGACAAGATGGATATTCATACTTCATCACATTTACTGATGATTTCAGCAGATATGGTTATGTCTTCCTTATGAGACATAAATCTAAAGCCTTTGATAAATTCAAGGAATTCAGGAATGAAGTATAGAATATGTTGGGCAAAAATATTAAAGCTCTTCGGTCGGATCGAGGAGGTGAATACTTAAGCTCAGGGTTTTCAGAGTACCTGAAGGAATGTGGGATAGTATCACAACTCACCCCTTCTTATACACCCCAACACAATGAAGTATCTGAAAGGAGGAACAGGACCTTACTTGACATGGTTAGGTCCATGATGAGTTTTTGTGATTTACTTGCATCGTTCTAGGGTTATGCTCTAGAGACTATGACTCACATTTTGAACCGTGTGCCGTCAAAGTCTGTAGATAAGACTCCATATGAATTATGGAGTGGACGAAAGCCCAACTTGTCTTATCTAAGGATTTGGGGTTACGAAGCTTATGTTAAGAAATTGACTTCGAACAAGCTGGGCCTAAAATCTTGTACATGTATATTTGTGGGGTATCCAAAGGAGACCAAAGGATACTATTTCTACCACCCAGAAGAGCGAAAAATTTTTGTTGCTTGATCTGGTGTCTTCCTAGAAAAGGAATATTTTCTAAGAAGTACTAGTGGGAGAAAAGTAGAACTTGATGAAGTTCTAGAACCACAAGATATACTAGACGAAGGCTGGGATGATGTGCCACTGAAGGTGGTTGAACATCAAGAGAATGTTACTCCACAACTTGTGGATCAAAGTGAACCACCTCAAGTAGCATAGGAGCTACGTAGATCTGGGAGAGTACGTCATGAGCCCAAAAGATATGGTTATCTCGTGAGTCAATATGGTGACATACTAGTCTACCAAGACGATGAACCCAGAACCTACGAAGACGCTATATCGGATCCAGATTCCATTAAATGGCTTGAAGCCATGAAATCTGAGATAGACTCCATGTATCAGAACCAAGTGTGGTCTCTGGTGGAACCACCTGAAGGGGTAAAACACATAGGGTGTAAATGGGTCTTCAAGAAGAAGACTGGCATGGATGGCAAGGTGCATACTTATAAAGCACGACTGGTTGCCAAAGGTTTCAAACAAATTCATGGTATTGACTATAAAGAAACCTTTTCGCCGGTTGCCATGATTAAATCCATCCGGATTATACTTGCGATTGCTGCATATCATGACTATGAGATTTGGCAAATGGATGTCAAAACAGCTTTCCTGAACGGAAACCTTGAGGAGGATGTGTATATGACACAACCTGATGGTTTCGTTCTTGATGGGCAAGCTGATAGGGTATGCAAGTTGCAGAGATCCATTTATGGACTCAAGCAAGCTTCAAGGAGCTGGAATATTCGTTTTGATGAGCCCTGTGTTTACAAGAAAGTGAGTGGGAGCGCAGTAGTATTCCTAGTGTTGTATGTCGATGACATACTTCTGATCGGGAATGATATACCAAACTTGCAGTCTGTAAAGACTTGGTTATCCAAGTGCTTCTCCATGAAGGACTTAGGGGAAGCAACCTACATCCTTGGTAGAAAGATCTATCGTGATAGATCGCGTAGGTTGCTTGGCCTAAGTCAGAGTGCATATATTGACAAAGTACTGAAAAAATTCAGTGTGGAAGAATCCGAGAAGGGATTTCTTCTGATGTCACATGGTGTTTATCTCTCTAAGGAATTGTGTCCTAGAACACAAGATGAGAGAGATAGGATGAAGAGGATCCCATATGCATCAGCAATTGGATCCATCATGTATGCCATGCTATGTACTCGGATTGATGTCTCATGTGCTTTGAGCACTTGTAGTAGATATCAATCGGATCCAGGTGAGCGTCACTGGATGGCTGTCAAGAATATTCTTAAGTACTTGAAGAGGACTAAGGATATGTTCTTGGTTTATGGAGGGGAAGATGAGCTCACTGTAAGAGGATACAGTGATGCTAGTTTCCAAACGGACAAAGATGATTATCGATCGCAATCAGGGTTTGTATTTTGTCTCAATGGCGGTGCAGTGAGCTGGAAGAGCTCCAAGCAAAGCACTGTAGCGGACTCTACAATGGAGGCTGAGTATATTGCATTGTCAGATGCGGCCAAGGAGGCAGTCTGGATTAAGAAGTTCGTCATTGAACTTGGTGTGGTTCCTACGATTGTTGATCCTATAGACATCTATTGTGACAACAATGGAGCAATTGCTCAAGCTAGGGAACCACGGTCTCATCAGAAGTCCAGACACATACTCAGACGATTCCATCTCATCAGAGAGATAGTTGAGAGGAAAGACGTGCAGATTAGTAAAGTGCATACTGACGACAATCTCGCAGATCCACTTACAAAGCCTCTGTCGCAGCAGAAGCATGAAAGGCACTTGAAATCATTTGGTATTAAATACATGAATGATTGGCTATAGTGCAAGTGGGAGATTGTTAGAGTAGATGCCCTAGAGCCAATCAATTATTGTAGAATTGACTCTTTGTAATAATGTTCATTAATCAAATAAAAGAATTTTATTCTATACGCGTAAATATATTATTGCAATATGTATGATATATGTCCTTAGAATGGTAGAACCGTGACGAGGGTATCAAGTGTTTCAAATCTTGATAGTGGAACCCTATGAGCACATATGGTGGCCATTCTAGAAATGTCGTAGCCTAGTATTATTTGAAGTAAGGGCACAGATAATACGGTAAGGCTATCATAGTGTTGAACGACCCTGTCGAAAGGCAGTGACTGATCTCACTTGTCAAGGTTGTTTGGTGACAACCTGGTGCAACATGTGTGCTTTGTAGGTGAATACACCGTAACAGTTCACTGGATGACCAACAGAGGATTCCATATGGATGGTAACCCAGTGTCTATAGAACAAATCCTCTAACGAATGGTGGTAATGTGATCCTTAGACTTGAGATCACCGGAGCGCCTTGTGCACCGATTGGTGTAGTTTGACACTAGCCTAACGCAGTTCTTTCAGAGCTGTCAATACGGTGGTGATGGGTGCTTCAAGGAGTGTATCAAGACTATGGTGGATAGATAGAGGATTCATCACTCCCGGGTGGGGACAAGTTATCTCACAGCGCAATTCAGTATATGACAATGACATTAAACTGTGGCCACAGTGGTATTGAGTTGTTGCTCTATCCAGATTATAATGTTGGTCATTGGTCCAATAAATGAATATCATATCGAGAGTAACCGAAGGTTGACACTATTTCTATGCCTTGTCTTGTCGAGATAAAAATGATGAGAAAGATCAAATTGTACCGTAACCAACGTTGACAGGAGCTACTTTGCTGAATCCGAATCTACGGGTGGCCAGATGCCTTGCTAGGGGCCAATCTGGTGTTGTTTAGTGAGACGTTGTTGGTGTTAATCGCGATACTATACACTACGGTATGATGAGGAGCCTATGGATCCACACAATAGAAGATAATTTAAGACTCAAGAAGTTAGAAGAGCATTTCGTCTTTAGGCGAAAGGGTATTTTGGTAATTTCACAGTGCAATTAAATTTGCTGAGGTCGTAGCCTTTTATTTAATTTGTTAGAAAAATTAAATTAGGGAAATTACATTAAATATGTGTCGCATATATTTAAAAAATTATCATATTTTTAAATGTTAATATATATATATATATATATAATATATATAATAATATATATTATATACTATATATTAATTGATTTTAATTGAGATAATGATGAAATAAAATAAATATCTAATTGGGAGTGTTTGGAAACATGGGGTTTGGGTTGGAGCCCAAGCCTATTCCATATGAGAATAGGGCAATTAAAAATTGGACTATAAAAGAAAAAGTGTTAATTGAAAAAGTGAGAGTATTCAATTTATTCATTCATTACTTTTTCATTTGAGAGAAAAACTCTCTAGCCCCTAAACACTTTCCCACGCCAGATTTTAGTTTTGCTAAGAATCAAAGTTTTCTTTGATTTTTGCTTCTTGTTTCTCAAGGCTAAGGAGGATCTAGCAAATCCCTCCTTAATTCCTTGTGATTGTCTTCATGTGGACTATGTCGGTTCGATCCTACACTTGGGTCGGTAGCAAAACACGTTCAGAGATAAACTTGGAGGAGCCTCCAAACGTGCGTATGGTTTCTTAAACTCTAGATTTATTTTCTGCAGATTTCTACTTTAATATAAACTGTAAAATTATACCTTTGATCTTGGCTCTTTGGAATGATCCTTTTATTATGATTTTGTTTTCCGCTGCGTATATGGATCGTTTCCTAACAAGTTCTACCATTCTAAGGACGTGTATCGGTACATAGAATAATGATTTACGTGATATAGAATAAAATGCCTTTTTATTGATCAATGAACATTATTACAAATAGTCAATTCTACAATAATTGATTAGCTCTAGGGAACCCGCTCTAACAATCTCCCACTTGCACTACAGCCAATCATTCATGTATTTAATACTAAATGATCTCAAGTGTCTTTCATACTTCTGCTGTGACAGAGGCTTTGTTAGTAGATCTGCGAGATTGTCGTCAGTGTGCACTTTACTGATCTGCACATCTTTCCTCTCAACTAATTCTCTGATGAGATGGAATCGTCTGAGTATGTGTTTAGACTACTGATGAGACCGTGGTTCCCTGGCTTGAGTGATTGCTCCATTGTTGTCACAATAGACTACCTCCTTGGCTACATCTGATAATGAAATATACTTAGCCTCCATTGTAGAGTCCACTATGGTGCTTCGCTTGGAGCTCTTCCAGCTCACTGCACCCCCATTGAGACAAAATACAAACCCTGATTGCAATCGATAATCATCTTTGTCCGTTTGGAAACTAGCATCACTGTATCCTCTTACAGTGAGCTCATCTTCCCCTCCATAAACCAAGAACATATCCTTAGTCCCCTTCAGGTACTTAAGAATGTTCTTAACAGCCATCTAGTGACGCTCACCTGAATCCGATTGATATCTACTACAAGTGCTTAAAGCACATGAGACATCAATCCGAGTACATAGCATGGCATATATGATGGATCCAATTATGGATGCATATGGGATCCTCTTCATCCTATCTCTCTCATCTTGTGTTCTAGGACACATTTCCTTAGAGAGATAAACACCATGTGACATTGGAAGAAATCCCTTCTTGGATTCTTCCATACTGAATCTTTTCAGTACTTTGTCAATATATGCACTCTGACTTAGGCCAAGCAACCTACGTGATCTATTACGATAGATCTTTATTCCAAGGATGTAGGCTACTTCCCCTAAGTCTTTCGTGGAGAAGCACTTGGATAACCAAGTCTTTACCGACTACAAGTTCGGTATATCATTCCCAATCAGAAGTATGTCATCGACATACAACACTAGGAATGCCACTACGCTCCCACTCACTTTCTTGTAAACACAAGGTTCTTCTTCATTCTTGATAAAACCAAATTCTTTTACGACTTCATCAAAATGAATGTTCCAGCTCCTTGAAGCTTGCTTGAATCAATAAATGGATCTCTACAACTTGCATACCCTATTAGCTTTCCCATCAAGAACGAGACCATTGGGTTGTGTCATATATACATCTTCTTCAAGGTTTTCGTTTAGAAAAGTTGTTTTGACATCCATTTGCCAAATCTCATAGTCATGATATGCAGCAATCGCAAGCATAATCCGGATGGATTTAATCATGGCAACTGGCAAAAAGGTTTCTTCATAGTCAATACCATGAATTTGTTTGAAACCTTTGGCAACCAGTCGTGCCTTATAAGTATGCACCTTGCCATCCACGTCAATCTTCTTCTTAAAAACCCATTTACACCCTATGGGTTTTACCCCTTCAAGAGGTTCCACCAGAGACCATACTTGGTTCTGGTACATGGAGCCCATCTCAGATTTCATGGCTTCAAGCCATTTAACGAAATCTGGATCCGATATAGCGTCTTCGTAGGTTCTAGGTTCTTTGTCTTGGTAGACTAGTACATCACCATGTTAAGTCACGAGATAATTATATCTCTTAGGCTCATGGTGTACTCTCCCAGATCTACGTAGCTCCTATGCTACCTGAGGTGGTTCACTTTGATCCACAAGTTGTGGAGTAACCTCCTCTTGATGTTCAACCACTTCCTGTGGCACATCATCTCGTCTTTCGTCTAGTATTATTTGTGGTTCTAGAACTTCATCGAGTTCTACTTTTCTCCCACTAGTACTTCTTAGAAAAAATTCCTTTTCTAGGAGGACACTAGAACGAACAACAAAGGTTTTGCACTCTTTTGGGTGGTAGAAATAGTATCCTTTGGTCTCCTTTGGATACCCCACAAATATACATTTACAGGATTTTGGGCCCAGCTTGTTCAAAGTCAATTTCTTAACATAAGCTTCACAACCCCAAATCTTTAGATAAGACAAGTTGGGCTTTCACCCACTCCATAGTTCATATGGAGTCTTATCTACAGACTTTGATGGCACACAATTCATAACGTGAGTCACAGTCTCTAGGGCATAACCCCAGAATGATGCAGGTAGATCATAAAACTCATCATGGACCTAACCATGTCAAGTAAGGTCCTATTCCTCCTTTTAGACACTCCATTGTGTTGGGGTGTATACGGAGGGGTGAGTTGTGATACTATCCCACATTCCTTAAGGTATTCAGAAAACCCTGAGCTTAAGTATTCAGCTCCTCGATTCGACCGAAGAGCTTTAATACTTTTGCCCAACATATTTTGTAATTCATTCCTGAATTCCTTGAATCTATCAAAGGCTTCAGATTTGTGTTTCATAAGGTAGACATAACCATATCTACTAAAATCATCAGTAAATGTGATGAACTAGGAATATCCATCTCTGGCCTCAACTGTTAGTGGACCGCATACATCACTATGGATGATGCCTAACAACTCAATAGCCATTGCACCTTGTCCTGTGAAAGGAGACTTGGTCATCTTGCCTAACAGGCATGACTCGCATACCTGAAATGACTGAAAGTCAAAAGGGTCCAAAACTCTATCCCTTTGAAGTTTTGCGATGCGGGTTTTATTAACATGACCCAATCTACCGTGCCAGAGGTATGTCTGGTTTTCATCACTATGTTTGGCTTTCTTGGTTTCAACATTGAGTATATCCTTATTGTTTAAATCAAGAACATATAACCCGTTATATAACCTTGCAATTCGAAATAGAATACCATTCAAACTATTAGATATCTCAAAATGATACCCTATATTATCCAAAGCGGATACAGAAATAATATTTCTAGAAATAGAAGACACATAATAATAATTATGTAGTTCCAATAACAAGCCCGTAGGCAAAGATAAACAGTAAGTCCCTACAGCCAATGCAGCCACATGTGCTCCATTTCCAACTCGTAGGTCCACTTCTCCCTTAGCGAGCACTCTACTCTGCCTTAGTCCCTGCACATCAGTACAAATGTGAGTACCACATCCTGTGCCAATGACCCAAAATGTTGAGGGAGAGAAGTTAATGTCAATCATAAATATACCTAAAGTTGAAGCATCTGACTTCATCTTGCTTGCGAGGAAAGCCTTGTAGTGTTTCCTCTAGTGGCCAAGCTTGCCACAATAGAAGCAGACTACTCTCCCGCCCTTCCCTATGCCACTCTCAAGCCCAAGAGTACCATGTCCTTTGGGCTTAGGCTTGGGCTTGGGCTTGGGCTTGGGCTTGGGCTTGGCCTTAGCCTTACCCTTGCCGTTACCCTTTCCTTTACTGGCAGCAACAAGTAAAACAGGCTTGGACTTCTTCAAGTCTTGCTCTGCAGTCCTCAGCATGTTTAAAAGCTCCAACAAGGTTTTCACCATTGTGTTCATATTGAACTTCATTACGAACGGTGCATAAGAGTCAGGCAAGGATTGTAGAATCAAATCCATTTGTAATTCTGCTTCCAACTCAAATCCCAAAGTCTCAAGTCTCTCTATGTGCTCGATCATCTTGAGCACATGAGGAAAAACTTGGGCTCTCTCAGTTAGATGACTTCTAAACAGTGCTTTTGACACCTTGAACCTCTCATGTCGAGCATTTCTTTCGAAAAGCTCCTTGAGGTGTAGAATAATGGCAGCAGTGTCCATATTCTCATGCTGCTTTTGAAGCACTGGTGTCATCGATGCTAACATCAAGCATTGAACGCCATCAAGGAACTTTTGATAAGTGTCCTTTACTTCCTGAGTGGCATCAGGATTAGGCTCAACCATGTATAGCTTTTCAAGGTATACAATTTCTTTTCTGACATGAATATAATCCGAAGATTATGATACCAGTCTGAGAAATTGGATCCATCAAACCTGTTTTCTTTCTCAATTATTGATCGCAGGTTCATAATGCTCATTTTTGGTGAATCTACAGTTGCAGAAAAGATAAAGTCATTATAAAGTTCATTATTATTTAATATGGTCTTTTATTAAACGACGCTCCTACTATTTTCCTTAAGTCAATAGTCCTCACTATTAACTCAGGAAAGCCCGTTGACTTTCCTAGTGAACTGAGATCCCATCTGGCCCATTTCAAACCTTCGTTTTGGCAAACAAGCCAAAATGGGTTGATTAAGTAGGCTTACAAACTTAATCCACACCAGTTGATAGCTCCAACTATCAACCTCAAATGTGAAGAAGCCAACAAGCCAATCACACATTCTAATGGCCCCAGCCATCATTCTTAAGTGTGATTCTTAGTATTAGTAGAGTGGACACTACATGTCACCACGTACACACAACATGTGTACTTCTCCACTATGCCTATGACGCGTTTATCAACCTTCGCTTTGGCGAACAAGTAAAACCACCATTTTAAGTCGACCTATCACCATTAAGGACAACTCCAATGAATTTTAACCTCCCATTGGTAGAAGTGTACGCTTCGCTTTGGGAACAAGGTTTCGACGAACAGTGGTTTGATTAAAACCATGGTGATGTGTAACACCCACATGGAGGTACGTAATTTAATTTATGCTCTTATACCTTTAGTTGAATTTTTGCTAAAGTTATTTTGAGAAAATGTGAAGAAAATGCTTTAAACTTGCATTAAGGGTAAAATGGTCTTTTCACTCAAAATTAGTTGAAATTGTGGGGAGTGAAAAGAGATAGAATTTCATGGAGAATTCAATAAAATGAGGGCATTGTGGTAATTGACTAAGGGACATAGATGGAATTTTAGAGAAAGTGCAAGGGCAAAATGGGAACACATGCTTATATTAATTGATATAAGGCTTTATTTGAAGAAACCCTAACCCATATCCGGCCCTTGTTCACGCCCCTCTACCCCATTTTTCTCTCAATTTTCTTCACTAACTTCAAAGGAAAATCATAGGATTTGGTCTAGACTTTTGAAGATTTTCAATCTTCAAGCATCCTAAGGTAAAATTCTAGCAAAAGGAGTGTGATTAAACTTTAAAGTTTTAAATTCTTATAGTTTTTATATGATTTAGGTCCAAGAGGAAGAGATTTGGAGAAAAAGGGAAGTGATCTCACATATTCAAGGTAAGTAAACCTACTTTGAAACTTAATTTGAGCAAAACATGTTTATTAATTCTAGCCATGAGAAGTAGTGTATGGTTATGTGAAGATTTGGTGAAGTTGTGGAAGATTTGGTGTTGAAATTTTTGAAGTGTAGAGAATTATTGAAAATGGACAGGTTTGATGCTATAATTAGTGATTTTTTGGCTTACAATTTGGTTGAATTAGAGAGTTGTGAAGTGTAGCCAACAAGGTAGTTGCATGTGCATATGAAGTGTTTGATGAAAATCCGAAGAGAAAGTGCATCCATGAGTTGGCTAAACCCTAATGAGGAAAGGGTTATAGAAAGGCAAGACTTGAAGTTTGAATGTATATTATTGATCTTTTAACTTGTTTTCACAGGGGAGGATGGTTAGGAAAGGTTGGGGAGTAACTGGAGGTAAATAGGTATGGAAAAGCCTTAAAGTAGGCATGTTACCAAGGTTGTCCTGTCAAATCCGTGATCTTCTGAGTGATTTTTGGGCATCTTAGCTATCGAAGTGGGTTGAGTCATAAACATAAAAGTTGTATCCTTTCTCTATGATTTAAAATGAGACCAAGATCATAGCAATCTGATGTGTATAACTCGAGATAGACCTTCTTGAATATGACATGTGCAGAATGACTATCTCAAGAGTGCTTCCACTTTATTAGTTTATTTGTAGTCTAATAATCTATAATTGATTCCAAGTATGAAAATGATGCTTAAAGGGTTGTGAAGCATGTTTGAATGAGTGGTCTTTGTGATTATTTAATGATTTGTATGAACATATATGTTTGATGTAATGAATGACCATGGAGGCTATGTTCATATATGGAAAGTGTATGTTTTTTTTTTAAGAATGCAAGTGTAGAATTTCCATAGCTTGGAAATTCATGTTGAATGTGTATAGAATCTCTTTCTATTCTCTTGCTATATTATACTATGATATAAGGTTTTTGCGATGGGGAACCCGTGAGTGATAGAAGTGCCCACATACACACCGCCACGAGCGAGCGGCATCAGCGGCGAGATATAGTATTTGTACAGTCCGTGAGTAGTGTATGTGGATAAGGACTGTGATTACACCTATGTGCACGCTGCCACGAGTGAGCGGCCACATCAGAGAGATACAGTACTTGTATAGTCCGTGAGTAGTGCATGTAGATGAGGATTATACCCACTCACAAGGCCAGGGTTCCAAATCCATGCATCAACCTGGTCTGATCGGCAAACTAGAAAGAAGAAATAAAAGAAAGAGAATCAGAGAAGAAAAGAAAGAGATTACAACATAAGAGAAACAGAAACAGAAAGGAATGAAGAGCATAATCAAAGAATAAAGTGAGAAAAAAAAAATCAGCATATGAGTAACAGAAGGAAACACAGTAGTGTAGTTTGGTTTACTTACTGAGCAATTAGTGCTCACTCTATTAATTTACTGTTTTGTAGGTACTAGATGATTTACGATCAGGTGGGACGTCAAGAAGTGGTGGAGTTTGGCGGCACTGTTCAAGATTACCTTATGTTACTAAAGTATATCAATGTTATGTGTATATATATTTATGAATTAAAAATTAGAGTTTTTGGATTTGCATTATGTATATATGTTTGTAAAAGTTATCTAGTAAATTTTATCTTATATTTCTTACAGAATTACTAGCTATATAGTATATTACATTTTTGGTATCAGAGCGTCGATTTTGGGAAATTGACAGTGCGCCCCTCCTACCGCATTGACGTACTGTAGCCAATCGCTGTAAGTTATTTCTTTTCTCACTTGTATTAGCTGACTAATGGTATTGATGCTATGCGTTTTAGATGAGACGGACGACTCGATCCGGTAAGAAGAATGCAATGAGTACGGGTGAGCCATCCAACCCATCCGGATCTACTCCCCCTGTCCTCGATGAGGCGAGGATTCATACTATTATTCAACAGGTATTGGTAGAGAGCCAGGGGAGACCTATATCGGAGGGAGTTGAGACCCCAGTTGTTGTACCACCGACCACTAGAGAGGAGAGAGGAAGGCCGGTACCTCCGATAGTATAGAGTCATCTTGAGCCCATTTATGGGTTACCTAGTTAGCATCAGCCGTTAGAATTTTGGGGTACGACTGATCCATTAGTGGCAGAAGAATGGATTAGATCTATGGAGCGCAGGATAGCACCTTTTCCCATGACAGATTGGGAGAAGATCCGGTATGTGAGTTTCTTGTTTAAGAGTAATGCCCGAATATGGTGGGAGCTGATGGAGGAGACTCATGATGTAGTGGTATGCTGTCGTAGGCAACCAAGATTAAAAACCTTCCTAACCTAACTACTGAACTGTAAATGGGGTAAGCAAGGGTCGATCCCACGAAGAGTGTCTAGCTGAATTTTCGATGATGTGAATAAGGCTGGGGGGTTTTTGAGTAAAACAGAAAACAATCTTAGCCAAAAACAAAAACAAAAACAATTCAATTTGAAATCAATTAATATAATGAAACTTGGTCTCCGTCAACATCCACCATCGGAATCTTACAGCTGATCATTGATGCAAAAGTAAATCAATTCTTACTTTGAATATTCACCGTTGGAACTATTTTCCTATCTCTCCTTAATTGTAATTAATTAGGAAACAAGCAATCTTAATTAATCTTACCATTAAACAACCCTAGACAAGCGCTAAAGATTTAATCTAATGGCAGCCTTAAGAATTAGAGAGATCGATGAAGCTAAACAACACAAACTCAAGCGGTTGTATTTAATTTAGTCGAGTGTTCCTCTTAAGATTACTAATTCCTGACGCAGCAAATTAATAACCCTAATTGCTTCACAAGTTAGAGGGATCAAACAATTACGGATTTGATATCTAACTTAGCAGTAGATTGTAACAAATAATAACCTAGTAGGCCTCCTAGCAATTAAATGAAACAATCATGAAAATAAGCATAGAAGAACATCCAATACTCAAAGCATAAAATTGAACACTGAAATAAAACAGATTAGATCTCACAGTTATTGATTCTGAGGCCTCCGTTTCTTTCGATCAAGTTATAAAAATCAGCCTCTCATGGCCATCACGAAAATTCCAAAGGAAAAGTTACAGAGAAGACCAAAGAGAGGCGTGTGTCCCCCCAAACCTAATCTGATCTCCTTAAAAGATATCCAATTCAAGTATTTGAATTCCACTAAATCTCCTAAAAGAAATATTCTAATATCCTAAAATAACATTAATCCCAATTTAATTCTAGTTAATTGAAAATAAGATAAAGTCCTAAAATAAAATAGGAAAGTGGTGATTCTGAGCTGTAACTTCTGTGCCACATGTCTTCAAATCTTCCAATAATAAACTGCCCAATTGATTTGCATGACAAGGCAAAATGTTCCAGAACGTCGGTAGTGCAGGTGCGTCAACTTGAAGCCCAATTACAACCTTTATGCAGCGAGTATCTCTCCAAACTCAAAACATGAAAGTTGTAGATCTCTTTCTTAGAGTTCCACAGCATTTTTAATCATCTCAATCGGATCTCGGATGAGAGAGTTATTCCCAGATTATGAAACACTATCGAAACTATCCGAATTCACTTAATTAGTTTCGTTTTGCAATTAACGCCTCCATTTGCATCCTAAATCAAAATAGAATAATAATGAGTATATTTAGGCAGCAAATAAGTATAAAATACTAGACATTAAGGGGGGTAAATATGACATTTTGCATTCTCATCATGTAGCCACGATGACCTGGGGAGATTTCAGATGACTTTTTGAGGCAGACTATAGGACAGCTGACAGAATGCATGAAAAGATATAGGAATTTATTAACCTACATTAGGGAATCAGTTCAGTGAAGAAATACTCCATTAGATTTAATTCCTTGGCGAGGTTTGCACCAGGTATAGTGAGCACACTAGAGTTGAGGAGGGACAAGTTTGTGCATGGGTTGAATCCAAAAATAGCCTGAGATGTGATGACAGGTGCCCAGCCTCCTCAGACTTATAGTGAGGCTTTGGAGTGAGCTTTACGAGCCAAAGTATTTGTGAATAAGTTGACTTCATTGACTCCATCAACAGCAGTGTCCAGTGTTCCACCTCCCACTTCACAGAGAGACAGATTTGATGCCCCCAACAGTAGAGAAGGGAAGAATAAGAAAAGATTTCAGTTAAAGAAGAACAGGAGGGAAGGGAAGAACAAACGGCCAAGAACTATTGAGTTTCCCCAATTTCAGAATTGCCGGAAATATCATCCGGGATAGTGTCTCAAAGGTGTGTGTTTTAGATGCCAACAGCTCAGACATATGATGAAAGATTGTAATGCCCCGTCTTGATATGCTCCTTGATGCAGCCAATCACCACCTTATTGACAGCTCTGAATAAAACTGCGTTAGGCTAGTGTGAAACTGCACCAATCGGTGCACAAGGCGCTCCGATGATCTCAAGTCTAAGGATTACATGCACCACCATTCCTTAGAGGATTTGTTGCATAGACAGTAGGGTTACCATCCATATGGAATCCTCTGGTGGGTCAGTCCAGTGAACTTGCTGTGGTGTATTCGTCTACAGCAAGCACCCATGTGTTGCACCAAGTAGTCACCAAACAACCTCGACAAGTGAGATTAGTCACTGCCTTTCGACAGGGTCGTTCAACACTATGATAGCCTTTTACCGTATTATCTATGCCCTTACTTCAGAATAATACTGGGGCTATGGACGTTTCTAGAATGGCCACCATATGTGCTCATAGGGTTCTCACTATCAAGATTTGAAACACTTGATACCCTCGTCACGGTTCTACCATTCTAAGGACATATATCAATACATATTGCAATAATAATGATTTACGCGATATAGAATAAAATGCCTTTTTATTGATTAATGAACATTATTCCAAAGAGTCAATTCTACAATAATTGATTGGCTCTAGGGCATCTACTCTAACAAAATGTCTGGATGACACGGATCTTTAGAAGATCAAATCATCAAAGAATTCCCTACGCAAGTAATGTTAATTGGGTAATAACATTGCATAGTAGGCATGCTGAATGTCTCCATCGAATATCATGTGATGGTATTAGTGTGGGTGATTATAAGAGGTATGTCACTAAAGCATTAGCATGGATAAACGGTTAGTGAACTGTTTATCGAATACGATCGATTACAATGAATCCCATGGATATGGTCAATGATGCATTGTAGGATCGTGCTAGTGTGCCATTGATCCTTAGACCTGAGACATCACGGTTGGATTCAACATAGGATGCATATGGTTCATATGGTGTATAAGCACGAGACTAGTCATGTCTTGTGTAATAAGCCAGTTTGGTCATATGTTATTCATGTGTGAGGACAAGTGATGGTCAAGATGGGATCCGTTTACTCAAAATAGTCCAATCTCGAGTTCCCAGATGAATGTCAATAAACATTGGGAAAGGGAAATCTCTGGCCAGAGTATAATGAATGTCAGATGAAAAGTAGTTTCATGTTGACAAGTTCCATTGTATCGATTGACAATTCGATTAAAGATTAAGTTAAAGGTTTTGACATACCATGAACCATTCTTAATCGGGATTAGATAACGGAGGGATTTGACTACACGGTACGTACGATAAGAATAGGTTCATTGCAGTTTACACTTCATTGTGGTTTAGGGGTTATGGAACATTGCTAGACGTCTACCATAATCAGTGGGAGTTTCGATTATAAAGAATTATAACGAAACATATCAAAATCTGACATTGGGCCCACGGCTAGATCACAGTGAACCAAAATGGTCACACATAAAACCAAGCTCAAGGAGAGAGAGTAATACATATCATTAATCAGATTAATGATGTTCGGACGTAAACGGTTGCATCCGAATTAATGTATTGGTGAGAAATGATTATCCATGAATAGCTAGCACTAACCAAGGGTAATAAGGATTTATTAAATATTATCATTGAATTGGATTCAATGATGGGGGCAAAAGTACATTGGTTTTATTCTAAAGGGTTAGAATATTTAATGGAATTAAAATTGGTCTAATTATGAATTAACTATAAAACCAAGGACTTGACATAAATGTTTATTCTCAAGTTAATTTTAAATTGTTTGAGGCATTTCCAAAACAATTTAAAATTACACTTTGTGCCCATGGTATGTAAATTAAGTTTTATGCCATTTTAATTGAATTGAATCAATTAAAGCAAAATCACTCTCTCATTTTCTCTCTCACTCTCACGGTTCTCTCTTCCTTGACTTGTGTGGATCACATTTTGAGGTTCTTCAATCTCACTTGAAGAACTAAGATTCCAAGAAACAAGATTCAAGTGTTGAATAGCAAAGGAGTTGGTAATATTCCATCCTTACCTTGAAATGTTTTGGGCTTATGTGTTATGTTTGTGTTCTACCTTGCATCCGTCATCTTGATCATCATTTTCTCTCCATTTCCATGTCCAAAATGCATGAACACAACAATGGTATCAGAGCATGTTTAAATTCATGCATGCATGTAGCATTTTTGGTGGAAAAATGGCTTGGTTTGGACATGAATATGTTTTTGCTTTAGATGCATGTTGAAGTTATTGTGTATTTTGAATACAAATGATGATGGATATGTGATATTCATGCTTATTAACATGCTTCTATGAAATTTTGATATTTAGAATACAAGAAGTCATATGTGGCATGCATGTTTGAATTATTGCATCTTGATGCATTTTTGTTAAGTATGAATATATCTCGTTCATATGATACATGCATGTGTAATATAAGCATATTTGATGCAAATTTGATGATTTTGAGAAGGGATGAATTCGGTCAAAATTGATGCAAATGAATAATATATTTTAAATGCATATTTGAAAGTGTTATATGTGATACAATAGTCTATAAATGCATTTGACTTAGATTGTATTGTGAATGCAAGTTGGTTGATTCATCTTTGAGTAAAAATCAGTGGATGATTCATAGATTTGCAATTTTTTAATTTTATTTGATTGAATGTGATGTGAGAGATTTTTTAATGTGATGGGTAATATAATATTTTTTATAAATATTATGTTGATGAAATTATGCATGTACCGTTGGTTTAATCATGGCATATTTTATACATTTATTACATGAAATAATTGGGATATGTATATATATTTCTTTATATTCATGTGATGGATAATATAATGATATTATAAGTTTAAGGGTAGTAAAATTATGAATGTACCCTTTGTTCAATCATGGCATGTTTTTATGTATTTATTACATGAAGTCCTTTATTTATAAATATTGCAACTTGCATAAATATTTATTTATATGCGCTTGATTGAATTAATATTTATTAATGTGATGGATGAATATTAATTAGGGGATGATCATGGGTGTATATTTATTTTTCCCAAAAATATTTGATATTTGGGCATGTAATATTCTTTCAATGGCTTGTAATAATAATTAATTTTATTATTAGTTTGTTATCCGGGCCTACGTGTCCTAAATTGGTTGATGTAATCGTACGACCGGACGAAGGATGGAGATCCAATCAATCACCAGATGAAGATCCACAAGGAGTAATAGAATTAGGTGAATAGTTCACCTAATTAGGATGTATTTTCCAAAACCCCATGATCATCCCACCATGTTTTATATTTATATGGATGCATTTGAATTACTGAATGTGATAAATGTAAAACATTTTTTAATCAAAGGTTAAACCTAATAATCTCCCTAACAAACAATATTAGATCCAAGCCTTCCATTATGGGCCAATTAATTCTTTGGCATAAAATTAGAGATCCCAAGATTTCTATTATATGAGGGATGCTAATTTTATGACATGGAATTAATTGTCTTAGTTCTTGGATAGAAATTTTCATAATACCCAAGATTTCTATTATGTGAGGGTATAATGGGAATTCTATTTTAAGAAAGCATAATGGGTAAAGTCTGGATGACCGGAATCTTTAGAAGATCAATCATCACAGATTCCCTACGCAAGTAATGTTAATTGGGTAATAACATTTCATAGTAGGCATGCTGAATGTCTCCATGATATCATGTGTGGTATTATGTGGGTGATTATAAGAGGTATGTCACTAAGTTAACATGGATAAACGGTTAGTGAATCGTTTATCGAATACGATCGATTACAATGAATCCATGGATATGGGCAATGATGCATTGTAGGATCGTGCTAGTGTGACCATGATCCTTAGACCTGAGACATCACGGTTGGATTCAACATAGGATGCATAGGTTCATATGGTGTATAAGCACGAGCTAGTATGTCTTGTGTAATAGCAGTTTGGTCATATGTTTCACGTGTGGGAACAAGTGTGGTCAAGATGGGATCCGTTCTCAAAATAGTCCAATCTCGAGTTCCCAGACTGAAGTACCATATGGCCACCATATGTGCTCATAGGGTTCTCACTATCAAGATTTGAAACACTTGATACCCTCGTCACGGTTCTACCATTCTAAGGACATATATCAATACATATTGCAATAATAATGATTTACGTGATATAGAATAAAATGCCTTTTATTGATTAATGAACATTATTACAAAGAGTCAATTCTATAATAATTGATTGGCTCTAGGGCATCTACTCTAACAGAGATTGTGATGCCACACAGTCTTGAGGTGAATTTAATTCTGCAATCCCTTCCACCAAGTTTCAAGCCCTTCATCACAAATTATAGTCTCAATAGGATTGAGTGCACTTTTGCAGAATTGTCGAATGAGATTCAACAGTTTTATAAGCAGGGAAGAAAGGAAAAGGGGCAAGATGATGTTTTTGCAGCTTGTTCTAGTAAGACTAAGAAGAAGCAATGGAAGCAAAAGAAAGGTCCAAAAGTTGGACCACGAAAAAAGCCTTTTAAGAAGGATGCTTCTAAGACTGAGAAGGGCAAAGAAAAGGTCAATGATAAAGGGTAGTGTTTCCACTACAAGAAAGATGGACATTGGAAGAGGAATTGTCCTCTTTATCTAAAGAGCTTAAAGAAAGCTCCAGCAGGTATGTTCCATTCTTATGTTATAGAATTTGAATTAAATGTTAGTTCAAATGATCATTCCTGGATATTATATTCAGCTGCTACATCTTACATTTGTGTTTCATTGTAGGCACTTTGTAATAGTTTTGCACTGTTAAAAGGTGAAGTAATTTTGAAGATGGCAAATGGAGTAAAAGTTGCGGCCGAGGCAGTGGGGACTTGCCATTTGACATTGTCATTAGGACACATTTTGTATTTGTACAGAACTTTGTATTTTGCCAAAGCAATTAGAAATCTCATTTCTATTTCTGTTTTATGTAAATCTAGTTACAAAATACAGTTTAATGGAAATGAATGTCTAATTTATTTTGGAAATGAATTAGTTGGCAAAGCAATTAATACAAATGGTTTGTATGTTTTTGTAATGAATGATTATGACATAATGAATACCATTACAAATAAGAGATCTCGAAATGAAATTAATCCAAAATTACTTTAGCATCATTGATTAGGTCATCTAGAAGATAAAAGGATAATCAGGTTAGAAGCAAATGAGCTTTTAAACCTATTGGGTTCAGAACCCTATCCAACTTGTGAATCCTGTCTTCAAGGAAAAATGACCAAATTATCCTTTAAGGGTAAAGGGGAAAGATCCAAAGAATTATTAGAGGTTGTACATTCAGATGTATGTAGACCATTTAATGAAATGGCTCGAGGAGGTTTTCAATACTTCATTACCTTTACCGATGATTATTCTAGGTACAGGTATTTGTATTTAATGAAATACAAATCTGAATCCTTTGAAAAGTTCAAAGAGTTTAAGAATGAAGTAGAGAAACAGACTAGAAAAAGTATTAAGTCTCTGCGATCAGATCATGGTGGTCAATACTTAAGTACAGAATTTTGAGATATTCTAAAGGAGAATGGTATAATATCCCAGTTGACTCTTCCGTATATGCCGCAACATAACCATGTGTCTGAAAGGAGGAACCGTACTTTATTGGATATGGTACGGTCGATGGTAAGTTTTATGGACTTGCCAACGTCACTATAGAGATTTGCCCTTGAATCCGTTGTACATATTCTGAATAGGGTACCATCTAAATCTATTGAGATGACACCATATGAGATATGGTATGGTAAACCTCCTAGTCTCAAATATATGAGAATTTGGGGTTGTCCAGCTTATGTCAAGATTGTCAAGACAAACAAGTTGGACGTTAAATTTGAGAAAGGTTGGTTTATAGGGTATCCCAAAAATAGTTTGGGATATTATTTTTACTTCCACACTAATCAACGAATTTCGATTAGTAGGAATGCACACTTTCTTGAGAAAGAGTTCTTAGAAGAGAGTGGTGCGGGAAGAAAAATTGTGCTCTAGGAAGAGTTCGGGGAGCCTTAGACCAAAAATACTCAAATGGGTGGTCCTTCTCAAGAAATATTAATACCTGAAATGGTTTTGATTCGTAAATCATCTAGAGTATCTCGACTTCCAGAAAGATATGGGTTACTTCATGAAAAGATTTTTGAATCTATCATGATTGGAGAAGTCAGTTATGGGGATGATCCTAGAAGTTATGAAAAAGTAATATTAGATATCGATTCTAGAAAATGGCTAGAAGCTATGAATTCTGAGATAGAATCCATGCATGCTAATCAATTATGTACTCTCTTTGATCCTCTATAAGGAATAGTTTCTATTTGATGTAAATGGATCTTCAAGAGAAAGATTGGCAAAGATGGAAATGTAGAGACCTACAAAGCAAGACTGGTTGCGAAAGGTTATACTAAAAAACAAGGGTTGGATTATGAGGAAACTTTCTCACCAGTCGCTATGCTTAAATCAATCAGAATTATGCTAGCCATAGTTGCACACTATGATTATGAGATATGGCAAATGGATGTCAAAACAGCATTCCTCAATGGATTTATTGAGGAAAATATCTACATGCAACAACCTATAGGTTTTGTATCCAGTTCTAAAAGAAATAAAGTGTGCAAGCTGCATAAATCCATTTAAGGGTTAAAACAAGCTTCAAGAAGCTGTAACATTCGGTTTGATGAAATAATCAAAACGTTTGGTTTTATAAAGAATCCAAACGTTTGGTTTTATAAAGAATCCAAACGTTTGGTTTTATAAAGAATCCAAACGTTTGGTTTTATAAAGAATCCGAATGAACCCTGTGTTTATAAATGGACAAAGGATCATGCAATCATATTTCTCATACTGTATGTAGATGACATACTATTGATGGGAAATGACATTGGGATGATGACTGAAGTTAAGTTGTGGTTATCCGGAACTTTCTCCATGAAAGACTTAGGAGAAGTGACCTACATCCTAGGAATTCGTATCTATAGAGATAGAATGAAAGGATTAATAGGCTTATCCCAGAAGATGCACATAGAAAAGATGCTGAAACGGTTCGGCATGCAAGACTCCAAAGGGGGAATTTTGCCTTGCAGTCACAGAATTCATCTTTCAAAAGATATGAGTCCAAAGACTGATCAGGAGCATGAGCGGATGCGTGGAATACCCTATGCTTCAGCCGTGGGTAGTCTCATGTATGCTATGCTATGTACTAGGCCTGATATTACATATGTTATGAGTGTTACAAGCAGATATCAGTCTGACCCAGGGGAAAAACACTGGTCAGCTATTAAGACAATCCTTAAGTACTTAAGAAGAACTAAGGATCTAATACTAAGTTATGGAGGTTTAGAGTTGAAAATTGAAGGATACTCTGATTCTGATTTTCAATCACATGTGGATGATAGAAAGTCTACATCCGGGTTCATTTTCATATGTAATGGAGGAGCAGTCAGTTGGAAGAGTTCTAAACAATCAACTACTGCCTATTCCATAACTAAAGCTGAATACATTGCTGCTTCAGAAGCAACAAAGGAAGCTGTCTGGATGCGCAAGTTCATGACTGAACTTGGTGTGGTTCCAAACATGGTTTCTCTGATAACCTTGTACTGTGACAATACTGGTGCTATTGCACAGGCAAATGAGCCAAGAGCACACCAGAAGTCAAAACATATTCAGTGTAAATATCACATTTTGAGAGAATTCGTTGGAGCTGGAGAAATTTTGGTGCAGAAAACACCTTCAGCAGAGAATGTAGCTAACCCACTCACTAAAGCGATGACATAGAAGCAGTTGGACTATCATCTTGAGAAGATGGGTATTAGATACCATAGCGATTGGCTCTAGTGCAAGTGGGATTTTTGTTAGTGTATGCCCTAGGAACCAATTGTGTTGTTGGTTTCAGGGCATTATATCTCGTAAATGTATTATGAATAAAAGAAAGTGTTCTTATTTTACTTGTTGATTTTCTGCTTCATTTATATTATATTATATTATATTTAATATTGCATGTGAAATGTCCGGATGACACGGATCTTCAGAAGATCAAATCATCAAAGAATTCCCTACGCAAGTAATGTTAATTGGGCAATAACATTGCATAGTAGGCATGCTGAATGTCTCCATTGGATATCATGTGATGGTATTAGTGTGGGTGATTATAAGAGGTATGTCACTAAGGTATTAACATGGATAAACGGTTAGTGAACTGTTTATCGAATACAATCGATTACAATGAATCACATGGATATGGTCAATGATGCATCGTAGGATCGTGCTAGTGTACCACTTATACTTAGACCTGAGGCATCAAGGTTGGATTTAACATAGGATGCATATGGTTCATATGATGTATAACCACGAGACTAGTCATGTCTTGTGTAATAAGCCAGTTTGGTCATATGTAATTCACGTGCGAGGACAAGTGATGGTCAAGATGGGATCCGTTAACTCAAAATAGTCAAATCTCGAGTTCCCAGACAAATTTCAATAAACATTGGAAAAGGGAAATCTCTGGCTAGAGTATAATGAATGTCAGATGAAAAGTAGTTTCATGTTGATGTGTTCCATTGTATCGATTGACAATTCGATTAAGGATTAAGTTAAATGTTTTGACATACCATGAACCATTCTTAATCAGGATTAGATAACGGAGGGATTTGACTACACGATATGTACGATCAGAATAGGTTTATTGGAGTTTACACTTCATTGTGGTTTAGGGGTTATGGAACATTGTTAGACGTCTACCATAATCAGTGGGAGTTTCGATTATAAAGAATTATAACGAAACGTATCAAAATCAGATATTGGACCCACGGCTAGATCACAGTGAACCAAAATGGTCACACATAAAACCAAGCTCAAGGAGAGAGAGTAATACATATCATTAATCAGATTAATGATGTTCGGACGTAAACGGTTGCATCCGAATTAATGTATTGGTGAGAAATGATTATTCATGGATAGCTAGCATTAAGCAAGGGTAATAAGGATTTATTAAATATTATTATTGAATTGGATTCAATGATGGGGGCAAAAGTGCATTGGTTTTATTCTAAAGGGTTAGAATATTTAATGTAATTAAAATTTGGTCTAATTATTAATTAACCATAAAACCAATGACTTGACATAAATGTTTATTTTCAAGTTAATTTTAAATTTTTTGAGGTCTTCCCAAAACAATTTAAAATTACACTTTGTGCCCATGGTATATAAATTAAGTTTTATACCATTTTAATTCAATTGAATCAATTGAAACAAAAAGCAATCTCTCACTTTCTCTCTCACTCTCTCTGCTCTCTTAGCTTTGGCTTGGGTGGACTTCATTTTGAGTTTCTTCATTCTCTTTTGAAGAATCTAGACTCCAAGTTTCAACATCAAGCTTTTAATAGCAAAAGGAGTTAGTAATTTTCTATCATTTTCTTACATTAATATGTTAATGTTATAATGGTTTGTTTTCTACCTTATGTCCATCACCTTGATCATCATTTTCTCTCAATTTCCATGTCCAAAATGCATGAATCCCAACAGAAGGGTTTGGGGGGTTTTATGACCTTTAGGGAGTTAGTACT